AGCTAGATGTAGAAAAAACATCATAGCGCGCCGTAAGGGTCGACATTGCGGGACTGGCAAAAGGAAAGGTACTGCTGACGCTCGCATGCCTAGTAAGGTTCTCTGGATGAGGAGGATGCGCGTACTTCGCAGGCTTCTCAAGCGATATAGAGAGGCACATAAAATTGACAAGCATCTGTAAGTTCTTTTTTTAACTACGCTTAGGTACCACCAACTTTATGTCCAGTCAAAGGGGAACCAATTTAAGAACAAACGAGTTCTAATCGAGCATATTCACAAAAAAAAGGCTGAAAGACTTAGGGCGAGACAGCTTAGTGATCAGGCTGAAGCAATGCGTTTAAGAAAGAGAGAAGCTCGTCAACGAAGAGAGACACGACTTGAAGAACGAAGAAAAGCTATGTTGGAGTCATTTAAGCCAGAAACTCCCAAACCTGCTATGGAGAAGGAGTCGAAGACTGAGGCTCCAGTTAAGCAAGCGGCTGTGGTAGATAAAGTTGCTGTATCTGCCAAGCCAGTTGCTGAATCACCTGTCCAATCAAAGGATCATGGTAAGGTCAGCATCGCCCCACCTCCTGCTGTTTTGTCTAAGAGGGACAGCAAGGTTGCACCTCCTCCAAAGGTCGCAACTTCTCGTGCCAAAAAAAACTAAAAATAGCCTTAATATAATTTTTGGTTCTAGTTGACTTTTTTATCGTCGATCCTTACAGTTTTCATGTTGATTCAAATGGGTGGCTTTAGATAAATCCTCCGATCATACTCGTCAGCTCGATACGCTGCTTATATAGTTCGTTTGGGCATAGAGTCAAGGTCTGAATCAAACTTTTTTGGGGAGTTCAAATTTTCGGACCGTCTGGTTTGATTCTTCCGCCCTCGATAGGTGCATAAATTCATCCTAATCTAATTTAACTGAACTTCTCTATTTTCTACTCAGCACTTACTCTTTATTGTTTCTGACTCCTTTTATGCTGTGGCTAAATTTATTCATGCATTATTTTTTACGATGCCTGATTCCCATTCCTACATATTAGTTACTCCTTACTCCATCACACTGCCATGTGACATCTGCCTAATCCGGTGTCCAATTTAATCCGGATAGGTATCGCCAAACCTGGAACGTCTGTAAACTTCGCAGGATCAGACCTGGCTTATTTAAGTAAAAACGCAGCTGCTGAGCCGCTTCTATTTTTATTTGACGCACCAACTTTACCCTTCTGGAAAGTGCAGTAGCTACACAATTAATGAGGTTCCCATTAAGACAAGTTAATGTTTGGGGAGGAATAGTCTCTGGAAGAATTTGTGGGGTATTGATTTATCAATTTCAAACGGTTAATTAAGACACTCGTCTTCGGCTAAATATGTTAAGTGTTTAATGAAGAGTTTTGATGAATTCCATCACA